GGACACAATCCTGACACACACCCTTCCTGATTTTAAACAGTGCAATATCCCCTGGTTCTGTTCAAAGGACAGCCCATTGGTCTATGTATGGGTTCCTCATAAGCACAATTAAATGTTCTGGAATTCCACATGCACATTGTCATGGTGCATGTCAGGTGTCCCCAAGTCAGCTCTGACTCATAGCTGCCCCATGCACAACAGAATGAAACACTACCTGGTCCTGCACCATCCTCACTATCTTTGCTATGCTTGAGCCCATTGTTGCAGCCACTGTGTTAATCCATCTTGTTGAGGGTCTTCTCCTTTTTCTCTGACATTTCTCTTTACTAAGAATGATTGTCATGTGGAATTCCAGCATTTATCAAAACTTCATTTCTCTTAGGCTGAGTAGGATTTCATTGTGTGTATGCATAACTTTTGTTTATCCATTCATTGGTTAATGGGCATTTAGGTTATTTCTACCTTTTGGCTATTGTGAATAGTGTTGCAATGGACATTGGTGTACAAGTCTCTATTTGAATGTCTCATTTCAAGTCTTTTGGGTATATTCCACCAAGGAGTGGAATTACCAAGTCATATGGTAGTTCTTGCAAAATTCTTGCAAGCCCAAAGACTTATTCTTTGCAAATAACTTTTTTTTCAACAACATAAAGAATTACTACACACGGGGATCCCACATGGAATACACAGGAATCAAATTGACTACATCTGTGGAAGGAGGTGATGAAGAAGGTCAGTAAAATCAGTGAGAATAAGGCCAGGAGCTGACTGTAGAACATATGCTCATAGGCAAGATCAGGCTGCAGTTGAAGAAAAATTGATGCATTGCACACAAATGATCGAAGACCAGAAGAGATGTGGGATGACATCAAGAACATTACATGTGAAGAAAGCCAAAGGTCATTAAAAAGGCAAAGAAAGAAGAACTACCAAAATGAGTGCCAGATGAGACTCTAAAACTTCCTCTTGAACAGAGAAGCTAAAGTGAATGAAAGAAACCATAAAATAAAAGAACTGAACAGAAAATTTCAAAGGGCAGCTCAAGGAGACAAAGTAAAGTATTATAATGAAATGTGAAAAGACCTGGAATTAGAAAACCAAAAGGTAAGAACACACTTGGCATTTCTCAAGCTTAAAGAACCTAAGAAAAAGTTCAAGCCTCAAGTTTTGATATTGAAGGATTCTATGGGATATTCTATGGGATACTGCAATATTGAACAATGTAAGAAATATCAAAAGAAGATGGAAGTCACTGTACAAAAAACAGTTGGTTGATGTTCAACCATTTCAGGAGGTAGCATATGACCAAGAACCAATGGGACTGAAGGAAGATGTCCAAGGTTGATTGAAGGAATTGGCAAAAACAAGGCTCCAGGAATTGACAAAAACTCACTGAGAATGTTTTAACAAATGGATGCAGTACTGGGGGCACTCACATATTTATGCCAAGAAATTGGAAGACAGCTACCCAGCCAACTGACTGGGAAAGATCCATATTTGTGCCCATCCCAAAGAAAGATGATGCAGCAGAATGTGAAAATTATCAGGCAATACCATTAATATCACACAAGTAAAATTTTGCTGAAGAAAATTCAAAAATGGTTGCAGCAGTATATTGACAGGGAACTTCCAGAAATTCAAGCTGAATTTGGAAGAGGACATGGAATGAGGGATATTCCTATTGGTGTCAGATGGATCTTGGCTAAAAGCAAAGAATAAGAGAAAGATGTTTACTTGGGTTTTATTGACTATGAAAAGACATTCAACTGTGGGGATCATAACAAATTATGAATAACATTGTGAAGAATAGGAATTCCAGAACATTTCATTGTGCTCATGAAGAACCGGTACAGGGCCCAAAAGGCAGTCTTTGAAAAGAAGAAGGGGATATTGCATGGTTAAAAATTGGGAAGAGTGTATGTCATGGTTGTCTCCTTTCAGCATTCTTATTCAATCTGTACACTGAGCAAATAATCCAAGAAGCTGGAGTGTATGAAAAGGCATGTGGCATCAGGATTGAAGGAAGGCTAATTAACAACCTGTGATATGCAGATGACAAAATCTTGCTGGCTAATAGTGAAGAGGATTTGAAGCACTTATTGATCAAGATCAAAGACTACATATAGCCATTGGTATGAATTACACCTTAACATAAAGAAAACAAAAATCCTCACAACTGAGCAAATAAGCAACATCATGATAAAATGGAGAAAAGATTGAAGTTGTCAGGGATTTAATTTTATTTGGGTCCACAATCAATGCCCATGAAAGCAGTGATCAAGAAATCAGATGACATATTACACTGGGCAAATTACTGCAAAAGACCTCGTTAAAGTGTTGAGGAGCAAAGGTGTCACTTTTAAAACTAAGTTTGCTTGACCCAAGCCATGGTCATTTCAATAGCCTCATATGCATGTGAAAGGTGGCCAATGAATGTGGAAGACCAAAGAAGAATTCATGCATTTGAATTGTGGTGTTGAGGAAGAATACTGAAAATACCATGGACTGCCAGAAGAAAAAAACATATCTATCTTGGAAGAAGTACAGCCAGGGTGCTCCTTAGAAACAAGAATGGGAAGCATTTTAAGAAGATGGCGGACTAGGCAGAAGGACTGCACAGACCCTCTTCAGCAAAGAAAAGGGAAACCAATTAACACAAACACGGAAGATAATCTTGGACCCCTGAGCCTTGAAGGGAAGGATACAGAAGTGGACTAAACCCCAACTAACAGAAGAATTTGCGTGAAAATATCAAAAAAGGAGACATACGCAGCTGCGGTCTGGCAGTGACCTGAGTGACCCTGATGGTACAGATGGCTTGGAGATTCCCGAGTGGTGGTAGGACCTAAGAATTAAACTAAAAATCACCCTACTAGCCAGGGACTACACGGACTGTGCACAGTGGCTGGGGAACAAACAGAGAAGGTAAAGAGAAAGGTGGGCTGAGCTGTGGACTTTTGCCAGTCTGGAGGATGCCACCATTCTGTAGGTTTAAAAAGCAGCTTGATTATATTGGATATTTAAAGAGACAGCGCTCTCGCAGATTCCTGTGGTGGTAGGACTTAAGAATTAACCTAAAAATCCCCCTGCTAGCCAGGGACTGCATGGAGGAC